GGGCATTTTGTGGAGAAAATGACTGAAATGGAAACCAAGACAGTGGTCACAGATGAACTATGCCATTTAAATTTGTGATAAAAAGAACAGTAGTGAACATACATTCAATTAATTTTAATAAGCACTGTATTTGGAAGACAAATGTTTTGTGTAGGTGCGTGGGTGGTGAATAAAGACCGTTGGAGGTAAGGGCCTAGAGCTTGAGTGACATGTCACGAGAGATGTCATCTGGGAGACTTCCCCTGGAGGGTTAAAGGCCAGATAGGCACCATAGAGTTCCATCCTGTATCCACTGGCTTGACTCTTCGGCATTTGATTTTGAGGTCAGCATCACTATTACTAAGACCCCCATCTAGTTGTGCATGATTCCTCTCTCCAAAAGGGGCTAGGCTCCTAACAAGTCATAGTGTCCACTGCTGGTAGCATGGTAGGCTTTATAAGAATTATTGCCCTGAGAGTCAGAGAAGTACCTTATGAGTGAGTATGCCAGAGGGCCTGCCACTCCTGTGCCTGGGGTGCTGCTCCCCTTCCCCACTTCTAGAACCCTCACTTAGGCTTAGAAACAAAATGCTTTTAGATCTCTCAAAACTTAGCACAATTGCTTTTTCAAAACAGACTGCTGTTTCTTAAAATCATTTCATAACCTTTTTGTGGTCCAAATTGGTGTGATACCAGGTTCTCTGAGCTTTCTTCCAGCTCAAGTACAGCTCTTGAACATTTTTGACTCCCTTAGTAAATATAGTTGAAATTGGGGTTACTGGTTGGCACCTCTCAAGATACTGTATTATCCTACGGAGACTTGGGAAGTCTAAAACTGTACTTTAATAGACCCACTGAGTGCCACAGGGAACAGGGATGGGAAAACACCTTTTTATTCAATTTTCATTGCATGAATGTTTATGGATATGGGAAGTGTGGCTCAGCAGTGCTGGGCTGAGCTCCACCTTCTGCAGTCCTGCATCCTGTACGTGGAGTCTGCTTCCATAGCTTCCCCTTTGACATAATTAGCCCAGAGGCTTGTTGGGGGACCCTGCTGCTAAGGTTGTAGTCCTCCATGTCCAGATAGCTCTAAGGGGCTCGGCGCTATATGGAAGGACTCCCTTTCTCAGCAGGGGCCTCCTGCTCTCTGCCTGACTTACCTGGAAAGTGCCACCAAGCATGGATGCCTGACCTTATTTGGAACATGACCTTTGGCACAGTTACCTGCAATAAAACCCTGAGGTTTTTTCTATATGATAATTAGGCATTGCCCTATAGTCAAATGATAGGATCCTCCTGCCACATGTAAATAAAGCATACTATGAGCACCTATCAGCTGAGGCTTTGGCTGCTGCCTCCACGCTGTATTTTCCCTAACCCCCACTGAATAAATGGAGCTGTTTCACTGAGTCTGGAGCTGTATCACTGAATCTGTCTCCCCAGAAGGGCTTTCTTCCATCAGTGCTCATTGGCCATCCTGACTCCGTTTGTCGCTTCTGCTCCCTTTGTCCTCGTGGACCGGTGGCCAATGATCCACGAGGACAGGGAAGAGACCCCACAGAGGCTTATCAAGAAAACGTGTTCTCCTTCACGAGCAGACGTCAAAGAGAAAGCGGGACCAAAATATGAATGTGATTTTTAGCTAAAAGATTGTTAGGGTTGACTCACTGCCAAACAAAACTGTAAACATGTCAGAAAGCACCAAACTTTAAGCCAAATAATAATCAAAAGATTACCTTCCTTTTGTTCAGCACTAATTCAGCAGACATGCTAAAGCATGTCTTTGATTGGCACAATAAGTGAGCATCTCAGCAAAGGAAAATAAATCCCATCAAATGAAATTGTTCTGGATGAGATTTTAAAAATTCTGTTTAATCAGTTTGACTTCCTCTGAAAAGTCCCTTTGAACTTTAAAAGCAACTTTTCATTTAAAAAGATCTTATGTGTTTACTTATTTGTATCTTTATATATTTTTTTCCCCTTTGAACCTTCTGGGGTAGTTTAAATATTTAAAAGATAATCTACTTGGGTCACAAAACCAAAACGCTGTATTGAGATTAGCCTCGGAGAGGAATTGCTTTTCCTCTGTACTATCAAACCATAGCAACACCACCCAAGTGAGGGATTTGGTTGCCTGTGACAACTGGGTGGCAACCAGATGTCCATTGGGTTTTAAAAATTGATTAATGTCATTATGGGAAGAATTGCTGATAGTGACATGGGATATTCAAGGTTAGAGAGAAGAGATGAACTATAAATTTATGCAAGGGTAGAGTCACAAGGAGAAAACAGATGAAAACCAATTCGCCATGTCCCCTTTGCTTGGGGAGACAAACAGATTTGGGAATCCTTTAGTGGTAAGGTTTGAGGACATGTTCATATTTTGTAAAGCAAGTGAAATCCCAGTGGTCCTATCCACGAGTCTAAAAGCACCGTTAAATCCCTATATACAGTGCTGGTCTTCTGTCTACCATGTGATACCATCAGAACAGTTTAGTCAGAGTGCTCTGGATCAGAACCCACCAGGGCTCCCTCCCTCCCTCCCTCCCTCCACCTGTCAGGCTGGGGTGGGGAGTAAGCCATTTCCCTGAGGGTATATACTCTACTCCTAGATTTAGATCTGAGTACGTTCAAGCTTACTGAGATCTGACCAGCAAGTCACAGCCACTGCAACACAGACTTGGTAGCTTTCCAGGAGTGTGCACAAATGCTGAGTGTTACTTCCGGAAGAGGACACGTGATACATACTACTTTTCAGATTTGTTAGTAAAAACTTAGAATTTCTTTAAAAAATATGGTCATCAGGTAGCATTCTCAAAATGAGCACCCAGTAGCTAGGAATTGTCTATTTTCCTTTGTATAAGATGTGGTTACCATGAACACTGCCAGACATATGACCCACTGTTCTATCTAAAACTGTGCAAATAGACTATCCTTACTGTTGTAGTGGCTAAGGGTATGGAAGTTGCTGGAGTGGCTGGATGGATCTTTTCTGCTGTCATCACAGCTGTGCTTTATGTCCCACGGGGCTGAGAGTGACCTGCATTTGACCTGTCAGCATTTCCTCAATGAATTACTGTGTTTGTGTTACTGGTGATTTTCATCTAATCCATTTTGTTTGTACTAGTTTTACTTAGGGTGTTCCTTGACCAGGTCTGGGGACACTGGCTCTCACATAGCCTCCTATTTCAAATGGTTCTTTCTTCAGCAGGACTTGGTGAATCAGAGCTGCTCTAGAACATTCTATAGTATAACAGTGTAACAGCATCTTGAGCTCAGGACAGAGTGAATGTATGTCATGGTTAGGCGCCATTGAAGATGCTGACAAGACTTTCTTCTCTATCAGCAACTGTATTTCAATGAAGTAAAGAAAAGCCTTGGAGATTGATGTGCAATGGCTTGTACCATCTGGCTTGTACCTGGGGATGATCACTGGGTGAGGGTGACACTCATAAAGAAAAGAACAGGAGGAGAAGGCCATCCTGCAGTGCGGATGGAGGACATTCCACTCTGGATCTGCTGTCCCTGAGCCAGTGGAGGTACATCCATTGTAGGGCTGCACTCATTGAGGGCTCTCCTGCTGCGGCTGGACCCGCATGGAAGGTGTGAGATTGGTTCAAATCTCCAGTATTTCTGTATACTCCCCCCTTTGTGGAAATTCAAGAAAAGGACTTGGGTAAGGCCTGGGTCTCAAGATTCAGCTGTAGAAATTTCAACTCTGGGCTGATAGACTATGGAAATACTATCCACAGCAACTGACAGGACCTACATGAGCAGAAAGAAAATCCTAAGAAAAATGATAAGGGATCGTAAATCTTTTGGCCAGAGGATAACCTTGAAGCTCATCCTCAGAACTTCAAGAATTACCCAGTTTTGCTATACTTCATAATGAAGATATCATGTTTCCTTATCTCTGGAAAGTCATGCTGATGACATCCTATCTGATGCTTCCTCTATAGCTGTAAACACGGTCCCCCCTTCAGTATGCATCAAAATCACCAGGAGGGATCATTAAAACAGACTACTGGGCCCAACCCAGAATTCCATACAGGTCTCACCTGGGGTTTAAAAAATTTGAGTTTTATCAACTTTCTAGGTTACAGTGATGTAGCTCGTCTAGGGACCACATCTGGAGATCATTGACCTTGTAAACAGGGGAGAAACACTGTGGTATATGGTGATGTGGGAGAGGTATATGCTAGCTGCTCTCTACTGACAAAAGCCATTTGGTCTAAGCTCATCTTCCTTCCAAGCATACTTTCCATTCCCATAACTGGCTTGTGCTTCAATCATTAAAGGGGTCTGTTCCTTTTATAATATATTTAACCAGATCTAACCCTCTACTTCATAGATTCATTCTTAAATGAAAATTGTATTTGAAAATGTTTCTGTGAACACACTCGCCTAAAGGCATACCAACTATGTGCTGACACTTTAGCCAGTGACAGGGGATGGGGTCTCAAGGAGTGTTTGCTGAGACTGGTACTGTCTTGGTACTAGCATGTATTTTTTTCCATTTTTCATTAATGGGTATCTTCAAAAAGTAAACTATCACACAGTCTTCTGATACTGACAAAATTACAACAGAATCAATTTATATAATCTGGTTCAGTAAGATCATTCATCTAGAAAAGTACATTCCAAAATGTGCTAGTGGTCACGAATTTGGGAAATGTAGGTCTCCAAGAAGTGTGGAACAACCTAAAAGAGCAACAAAAGGCTGGCAAAGCCTGCCCATGATCTTGCTTTCTTCAGCTTCTTTCCAAGCCCTGATGCTCCATTGGCTGCATTGGTTCTAGTCAGCCAGAAGGGCTACTGGACCTACGTACTGCAGCAGTGTGTCTTGGGCGACTGATATGAAAGAAAAACCTTTCCATGACTAGTGCCATCTTTTCCACTAGATCTTTAATGTTTGGTTTTTCTCTCCGCTTCTTTCAAGTCAATCAAGGTTTTGACAAAGTTGTAGGGAAGACTGGAGAGGAAGACGACAGTGACTGAGGGACACAGATGCTGCTGACATGTTCGCTATAGCACAGTTCAAGTTTATTCCATTTGTTCTTGCAACACGAAACTTAAACAGTATTAGTTAGCATTCGGATGTACATGAACTAGGATACTTATGAGAAACCCAACTGTGTCAAAAGTAATGATACTGTGGAAAATGAACTCAAATATACCAAAAATGCACAAAGCACTAGTCTTCCTCCGTACTGCTTAGAAAGATACGATTGTTTCTCCATTTACAAAATAGAATCAGGACAATTTAATTTTTAAAAATTTTGCATGCAAAACACTGCAACTGCTTATTTATGTAGGAGGGCACTCTTACCAGCTTCTTCTATACACAACCAAGGACACAATATTGCATGGAAGAAAACAGCAGCTCAGCTGAAGTTAAAAAAATCTAATAGGTACATGTAAATTTAAGATCCTTTATCTGGGGAAGGAAAGAAATGAGTAAAAGGCTTACTGACTTGCAGCTTCCACGCTCTGCGTGCTGCTTTCCTCTGCGCCCAGCTGGCACTAGAGAGGTGCACTGCACACAGAGAACTACGGGGGATGTCAAGTGCTGCACTGGAGCACTCATCTATAGACAACCAGCCTGAAGCTGTGGGGTGGGGCTGGGGAGGACCTGGTAGGACACTAACCATGAATAGGTAAAATGACCTGTCTGTACTTGATACAGTGCATATGAAATGATAGATTTAATACAAAACTATAGAACATGCAAGTTTCTTTCTTCTGAGATGTTAAGTACTACTTCAGTGGAGAACAAAACTTAACCTTTTGCTAATGCGTGTAGTACCAAAAGCAGACATTTTAGCTTTCTTTATTAAAAAATATGAGCATTAAGTGTTATGAATTTTGCTGCCAAGTGGTTCAGAAATACATTATAAATAACCTAGTTTTTTTTTTTTTTTTTAAAAAAAACAAAACAAAACAAAACTGTAAACTATCCTGGTCAGTCTATCCTACTCTATGTTATTTTCTCAAGCAATGCGTCATAGCTATGGGGTTTACAGAATGGCCAACAAAGAAGGGAGGAAAGCGAAATAGCCTCTACTGCATTACAAGGAACACCAGGGTAAACTGTAAAAAGAATCACATGGTTTCAGTACCATAATGACTGTAGAAATCAGAACCAAGCTTAAGAATGGTAAGACAATGTACTCTCTGCAACAGCCAACTACAACACAACACTTAGAAAGAAAAGGTGACAACTGTGTACAGGGTAAAATCAAGCTTTCAAACAGCAGTGTTCCAAGAGGTGAAATCAAGGGTAGCAAAAATACTCTGCTGCATTACGTCGATTGTTCCAGACTAACAGAGTGCCCCCACCCCCCATTTTCGATCCCCAACTGTATAGCTTTTTGGCCTTCTGGCTAAGATCAAGTGTAAATGTCTAACGCTAATGGGCTGTGTTAAGAGCAGAATTAGCCAAATATAAACCGCTGTTTTGTGATTGTTTTCTTGGATAAGAAAATTATACGGTTAGGCCAATTGAAAGTGAAAAAGCCACAGGATAAAAAAAGGGTTCATGGGAGAAAACACACATACACGCATGCATGCACGCACGCACAAACATGCACACACCCCAATCATCAGCAACTGATCAATAGTTATTAGCCAGGTTGACTGCTCTTGATAATAGTTTAACCCTGCTATAGAATGCTACATTGCCTTAAAAAAAATCATTATTCTTTTTTATTATCCACAATATGAATATAAGCCCGTATCCCACCCGCCCCTTAAAAATTTGAGGTACATTCAATTATTGCATGATTTAGCTAAGGAAAGATTGTATTATTTTTAGTAAGCTTATATGGATGGCAAGTCAAAGAAATCTTAATACTTTAAATGAAGAATATCAAATTTAAGGGTACATGTTTTAATTAATTTTACTTTTTATGAAAATTTGGAGATGTATATAAATTTTCTGCAGGTCCTAAGAACATTTTAGGGCACTGTATTTTTTTTTTTTTTTTTTAGGGCACTGTATTCTAAGAACACAGAATATCTTCTGAAGTTGTCACATTTATGCAACAAAAGATTAATAACAGAAACAAAAACATACTATGCAGGTGGTGTGGCGTGATGTTCAGCAGAAGTCTATCAACTCAGGGAAACCTGGTAACAAGCTCATGTTTGAAGGGGTGGGGTTACATTTGTCCAAATAGTAGCTCTCACCCCAGTGATAGCTTTGGTGCACTAAGAAATCAGCATCCATGGTGGGTCTAGAGGCTTTCCAAAGAATGTTCTGATTCTCCAAACACAACTGAGGTCAATTCATTCAAACAGCAATTGGAGAAAGTCCATAGGTACTAAGACAACTGTTCTCTTTTTATATGATACTAACACGCTTATGGCTATGATTCTATTTTTAAATCTCCTTTTACTACCAGCAGGAGTCTCAAAGTGTTTCAATGTTATAGAAATGTCTGAGTCTAAAGGAGAAAAAAAAATATGCATAATGGAATGATTCCTCCTTTAGACTCCTAGAATTTAAGATTTTATAAATAAAACTAGTCAGTTTTATCTAAAGAGACATGGAATCCATGTGAAAGGGGAGAGAAAATCCAAAATTCCATCATCTAGCAATTTGGGGGTATGCCCCTCTTCATCAGATCTGGGCTTTCACATAAAGCTTAAAGTCACTCAGGAAGATTTTGGTCACCAACCACAGGCAGCACTCATAACTAGCCAGGAACCCCAGGAGAGTGCATTCTTAAGGCAGAAGGCTGTAGCTAATTGCTTATCTCAGCACCCTAAGTTTACATCACAGCAGCCACTACTGCTCACAGCTAGGGCTACCAAGTAGTAGAGCTGGCCTTTGTACATTCAGACCTTCAACACACTGATTAATAAGTTATCTAGGGAGCTGAGAAGGTCCAATGATCCTGGTACACTGAATCTTTGCTCTCCCTTGGGTGTACTTTTAGAAATGGGAAAGAGGCTGGCTTGATCAGGAATCCCAGTAAAAGCCTGATCACATTCCCCCCTCCAAACTGTTTTTCCCCGGTAGTCTGATTTGTTATGAATTTCTCTCTCCCCTCACCCCTCTTAAAGTATTTAGCTGAAGAAGCTGGCAGATAGAGTGACAGACAGACAGGCAGCAGTGTGAGGCCACAGGAGAGTCATTCTTCCCAAGTTATCAGTCCGTCCGCCCATCACTGGAGAAGAGCCTTGATTGCCTGGTTGTCAGTGGCTTCAAGGGCTGTCAGTCCATCTGGACCTTTCACAGTCTTGTCAGCACCCTGGAAAAGAGGAGAGAAACTTCATCATACAAACCCAAGGTGGGGAGAGGAGCGGGCCAGAGGAGGCTGACTGTGTGGTATGGGCTGTTTAAACTTATTTCTGGGACCCATGGTGGAAAGAGAACCAACTCTGGAAAGATGTCCTGACATGTGCCATGGCACTCTCCCCTTTCTTTTTCACACAATTCATACACAAATAATTAAAAAATGGCATGCTATTTTTTAGATACTAGAAATTATAAGCAACAACACATCAACATAGGCAATAGTTGACTGGCTTTTACTTATCATATTTACCCGATTAAGCTTTAAAAAAAAATCCCTTGGCATCTGGGGGAGGGAAAGGCAGTCTTCATTTTAAGGGTAGGCTGACCACAATTCAGTGGTCCCCACACCTAGGAGTATATGGTAAGCACAAACTGAACTCTATAGGTTATAAAACGAAGGACACAGGTTGGGAGGGGGTGGAAAGGTGAGATGTGGATTTGGGAGGAGCTAGGGAAGGAGTAAGAGGTAACTATGATAAAAATACATTGTACAAAATTCTCAAAGAATTTACAAAAATATTAGGAACAAAACCCAAAGAAAATACCCATCCCTGTATGCAGTGTGTGACAGGGGAAACAAGCAGATTATCTTTGCTAAACAAAGTGTCCCTGTGACACTTTAAAGTAAGTTTTTTCTTCTTTGCAACATTTCCTACAGTGTGTCTAATTACTATACATATTAAAAACTGAAAACAGAACCAAGAGCCTGGAATGTGGGCTTGAGTAGTAAGGAGGTTTCTGTCTACACACAGGAAATCTTCAGTGCAGAGACTGACCACTTACTCCTAAATCTAGATAGTGCTGACCTGGCTCTTTGTAGTTGCAACACGGAGACTGTGTGTACCTGAGTCTTGTGCTTCTATCTTATCTACTGGCCTTTTCTAGAACAAAAGCTCCATGGCAGTGGGTTCTTGTTCCTATTACTCACCATCACACCCTATACACTGCTGGATGCATGGCAGGTAGGTCTGAATATTTTAGCTCCCAGAGATAACATCCTACCACATATGGGTGTTCACTATGATTGTCACAGCACTTACTAGTATGTATGTATCACATGGCCTGTGTTGAACACAGGTCCTTTTTCAAATCTCATGCATTCTTCTGTCAGCTTCCAAGGCCTAGAGACTTGTCTGAATGTGGCATAGGTGGCCCTTTGGAGACTGACCCTAGGAAAACTTTCCAGTTTCTTCTCTGGCTAATCCTGTGCTTTCATCCTACAAAATTTCTCATCAATACCCAAACACAACATGTGCTGTGTCTTTACACGTGCAAGGATCCATTCTGAATCCTTACCCCCTTCCTTTGGCAAATATATGCTTATTCATTCAATAGCTACTTAGCCAGGGTTTGATGTGTATATCCTGTGTTAAGAGACTGGAGAATCAAAGAAAATCAAGGCAGTGTTTGCCAGCCTGGCTGGTGTGGAGATAGACAAGTCAATACAGCATGGGGAGGTGTACCAGTTATTTTTCCTGTGGCTGTGACAAAATATCCTGACAAAAGCAGCTTTAAGGGAGAGTTTATTTTGGCTTATAGTTCAAGAGTTCAGTATAACATGGTGGGGAAGATGCTATGGCAGAAGCATGAGGGTGGCTGGTAACACAGCATCCACAGTCAGGAGGCAGAGTGATGAATGCTCTGCTCTCTTTCTTCTTTGTATTTGGTGCTGCCACAAGGGGGAGGGTCTTCCTACCTCAATTAATCTCATCTAGAGAACTCCTCCTAGGCATGCCCAGAGGCTTGTCTCTTAGGGGATTCTAGACCTCATCAAGCTGACAATCTAGATTAACATCACATGGTGTGAGTGCATGTGGTAACAGTGCTGTGCTCTGGCAAGCGGGAGGGGCTCGCAAATCTAAAGAGGATGTGGCAGGAGGGTCTTAGGGCAAGTCTAAGAATGAATGAATGAAGTAGTGCTTCATGTACATCTTGGTCTTGGTTAATAACACAAGCTGACTAGGCACACCAGAGAGGAAGAGGTGACAGACATTCTCTAAGTCTTAAATTGTTACATAGTGCTGCTCATTAGGAACTACAGAAGTCTCTCTTTTGTTTTCTTTTTAAAATATTTATTATTTTTATTTTATGTGTATGTGTGTATTGCCTGCATGTAAGTGCACCCATGTTGTGCAATGCCCCTGGAGGTCAGAAGAGGGCATCGGATCCCCTAGAACTGGAGTTATGGACAGTTGTTAGCTGCCATGTGGGTGCTGGGATTTGAACCCGGGTCTTCTGCAAGAACATTCAGTGTTCTCAACTGCTGAACCATCTCTCCAGACCCCTATTTCCTCATTTTCTAGTGGAGTGTCTTTGTAGAAGACACAGAGTTCAGTCAAGTGGGAGAGAAATCTGAGTGAGGATTTCAATTCAATGTGGTGAGCTTTGCAACACAGGTTAAATGACAAAAACTGGGATTACTCCTCTTATTCATTTTGATGCCTGTTGTTTTTATGACTAGCACTGAAAATTTTAATTTTGCATTAGTAAAAAGTTACATATCGTGGTAAACACTTGCTTTTTAGCTATCAGTTTTTCATGTCTTCTGACATCAGCAACTCTAGCTTCATCTTGTGGAATCTTTATCACCTGACTGAGTCCTAGGACTATAAATCAAGTTTCTATGTACTTTGCTTGCCAAGTGTCAAATCTTTACTTAAGCAAAGACACTCTCCCTGAATTTTGAATCTTGATAGAAGAGGACACAGGGAGCTGGAACTCATTCATCACTGCAGCTGAGCCTAAATGAAGCAGCTGAAAGGTTGCTGCTCCTCAAAGCCTTAGGCCGCCCATCTTTCATCTACTCTCAGCTTCCCGGTAACTCTCTGGCTAGTCCAACATCTTTTTAAAAAGTTCCTGTTGGAATGAACTTCTATTACACCAAAAATATTTAGCTGATGAAATACTTGCAAAAAAAAAAAAAAAAAGTTAAAATCACTTCTCTCCTTAAATTATAAATGCCTACTTATCATAGAAAACTCAAATTATAAAGGGAAATATAACTTATAATTCTAATAGCCAGATACAACTAATATTAATCTTTTAATATTCTATTATTTTGATTTTATGTGTATGCATGTATGTAAGTGCATTCATGTTGGGCAATGCCCACAGAGGTCAGAAGAGGGTATCAGATCCCCTGGAACTGGAGTTAGGAACTGTTGTCAGCTGCCATGTGGGTGCTGGGAATCAAACCTGGGTCCTTTTGCAAGAGCAGCCAGTGCTCTTAACTGCTGAGCTATCTCTCTAGCCCCCTAATATTAATATTTTTAATGAAATATCCCACTTTTTTATATTTAATGCATCAATTTTGCTTCTTGGTAGTATCTTATTTCCCATAATTTCATAAGGTACTTTCTCAGCTTTGTTACATCATTCTCTCCATGTCTTAATTTGACAACTTTTATATATTTTAAGATTAATTTTTGTCTCTGCCTCCTGAGTGCTGGGATTAAAGGCATGTGCTGTCATACCTAGCTAGTTTTCTTTTTGTTGTTTGAATACTCCGTGCAGCCCTCAAAAACAACAGAGTAGAGGCTAGAGAGATAACTCAGTGGTTAAGAGCACTGGCTGCTCTTTCAGGGAACCTGGGTTTGGTTCCCAGGACCCACACAGTGGCTCACAACTATCTGTAACTCCACTTCCAAGGGACTGAATGCCTTGTTCTAGTCTCTGTGGGCACCAGACACACACGGGGCACATACATACATGCAGGCAAAATACTCATACACATAAAATAAGAATAAACCCTTAAAAAACAAAAACTGAGCTCCTCTTTCCATCCTCTCTGGTACCTTCCCTATTCTTTATGGTTCTGGTTTTGGAACCCTTTAATACTTGCTCAGGTGCTTTTCATTAGCCATCTCAATTATAACCAACCTTCACCCTCATCCTGAACAAGTACTTCAAATTCAACATCTCTTGAAGAACACCTTCAAGAAATGTGAGCACATGACACAGATCTTCTCTTGACCTTCCACATAATCAGTCATCAAGTTTTTGGACTGTACTATTCTTAACATGTCCCATCTACCTTTACTTCTCCACTGCAGGATCTTCGAAACATTCTGAGGCAACAGTTTTCTATTTGGTTTTACTTCTTTCACCATGTAATTCAAGTCTACTCACATCTGTCTGGGTGATCTTTCTCAAACACAAGGCTGACAATCCTGTTCATTGTCCTAAGAGCCTAAGTGGCATCTTCACAAATGAATGAAGACAAATAACAAAAAGCCATAAGCCACCTGCTCACTACCTGTCCCGGCCTGTTTTTAGTGTCCACACAATCTAGAGTCACCCAGGAAGAGAGAACTTCAACTGAAGAACTGTCTTGATCAGACTGGCCTGTGGCCCCATCCATGTCTGTGAGAGACTGTCTTGACTGATCATTGATGTAGGAGGGCCCAGTCCATGGTGGGTGCACCAAACCTAGCAGGTTGTCCTCAGCTGTGTAAGAAAGCCAGCTGAGCATGAGCCATAGAGTGAGCCAGGGAGCTGCATTCCTCCATGGTTTCTGCTTCAGTCCCTGCCTTGACTTCTCTCTATGATGGACTATAACCTGGAAATGTAAATAAATCCTTTTCTCCCCTACGCTTCTTTCAAAGGTCATGGTGTGTGTTACAGACAACAGAAAGCCAACTAGACCATTACCTATCCCTTGCTAAATACTTTGTTCTACATTACAGCTTCTGAAAAATGTACTGTACCGAACTGCACCATGCCTCAGTCTACCTTGTACCTGCGACTTTTCTCATTGCTGCTTTTGCTTGGAATGGTACCTCAATTTCCCTCTAGACTTTTAAAGACACGCAAAGCTTCTCAGTTCATGTCAACTGATTTATAGATTTGTATTTGTGATGCACTGTATTGTAATGACACCTTTATTTCCTGAACTTGAGTTCAAGACCATACCTGACTTCTCTGTTTGGTCCTGTATTCACTTTACTTCTGCCT